ATTTGCCTATTCGGTGGCTTAAAATGATTGGGCCAATTTATGGGGGTTTGATACTACTCTACCGATGATCGATGGATACCTATACGCAACCATCGGTTTCTACCACACGTGCCGATAGCAATTCAGCAGCAATCACATGTCTCTTTTACTCATAATACGGTGTTGCCAAACCCTCCCAAGACTCCAATAAGTAGTCAGCAGGCTAATATGTATGCAAATACTACACAAATCGGCAATCCTACCCTATGTGACGAAGCTATAAGCCAATTTAAGGAAAATTCGCAAGGAAATTTGGAGAAAAATATGGGTGTACATTTTAAAGCAGATGCGAGTTATACTAAGCCGTATGAGATCTAGTTGTCCACACCTCGATGGCACCATCAGCTACAGCCTAATTCTGGCCAGGTCCTCTCTCAATGGTCGAAGATGGCACTGGCTACTACCGTTGATGTGTGAGATTAGTTGTCCACAAGCACCATCAGCTACAACCTACGTTTGTAATCTTTACCATGCATTTTATTTTTTGACATGTCCACTTTTTCAATTGGTAGATGGATTCGCTGGATTCTGTAGATGTTAGTGAAGATCCTATCGAATTTGAAACCAATAGGAACAATGTACGTTTTCATTAGGTTACCTTGTAACAAATGTAAAAATATGTTCAATTTTCAGTTTTGGTTATTTGAAGGAGCTATATTCTTTGTCGAAGCCTAGCTAGCAATGACATTTATAGTTGTTGACATTTGAATATATTAAAGGGATTCCTCTGCTAAGGCCTGGTTTTGCCAAGATCTATACAAGATGGGTCACAGGTTATGGTAAATGTTGCATTATGTGATTATTTTCAAAATGTCAAAATATAGTTCTTAATTTAGAAGATTACTATCCACCCCTTAATCTTGATCTAAGTCAATGATGGAATCACTAAGTTCTTCATCGCTAAGAACTTTAGCATTTCATTCTCCAAGCTTTCAGGATATCTCTTCGTGCCAGAAAATTGATTACAAACTCGGCCAAACCTCCCAATTTCAAAACCAGAAAGGTGACCAATTGACATCATTTCTCTCTGGAACTTGAGACCAAGAAAACCTTTGGCTAATGGTTAATTTTCTGGTCCTTAAGAGGTACCTAGAATTTTTGGTACTTCGCTAGTTATAATTTGCTGGTGCCTCTCCGTAGCTTCCAAGGACAATAAAAGCTCTTGGCAAATCGTTCAACAAGACAGACCGTTCTGACAGGGGTGATGCACAAGTTGGTCTTCATTCCACTGAATGACCCAAAATAAGCTACTGTGACCTTGGTAGTGGTTACGCTAAGTTGTGCGCATCGAAACATCATTGGCGGCCTCTCTATCACTATTCACTAGTCCAAATGTCCAGTCTATTCCACACTGGTAGCAATTTTTCCTTCCACACTGCATTATTGGTCATTCATCATGTTTGGCCTAGGCCCTGGCTCTTTTGCTCCATTAGAGCCACATTATAATGGACGATTTAATTTTCTCTATATATGCTACCTTTTTCTGAAATGACGGCAAAAGCTTTGCCACAAATTTTATTACAAAGGAAAAAATAAAATAATGTGTTGGCCTAGTTTTTTGAGTTGAAACCTGGCCAAAAAAACCCACACAAATTCCCCATAGAACTCAACACAAAAACCAACCGAACCCTAAGCCAACTCAAACAAGAAAGGCCTAATGGGCATGGCCTGCTTTCCTCTTTTCTCCCCTCATTTTCTTGATCTTGGGTTCTTTCAGGCAGTCCAAAGACTAACTCACACAAGTAAATGTGCTCTCACCAAGCGACATGCTTTTCTCCAAAGGTGGGGACTTTGCTCTCGGCTTCTTCTCTCCAAGCAACTCCAACAGGAGCTTGTACACCTTGGAGTCTGGTACCATAATATCCCAAGCGCACTGTCGTTTGGGTTGCCAATCGTGATAGCCCAGTCACCAATCCTTCATCAGCGAAGCTCGCCATCACTCTAAGGATGCGGCTTGTTTTCAAGGTTTTATCGTATTTATGGGAAAAATGTAAATGAACGAAAACAACACATATGGACATCAATTTCTACGTGATTTATCTTTTTGGACAGAAATTACTAACAACAGTAAACCGTTTTGTGTCTTTCCCACCCTCCCATAGTCTTATGCTAAACTACCACCTATCTATGGTTTTACATGTGCCTGTGAACTTATATGGGTAGTAAAGCATGTTTCTTAGGGGGTGTTTAGGATTGCTCCACAAACTCCACCGTAGAGCAGCTCCATAAAAAAAACTGGAGTTTGTGGAGCACCTCTTTAGATGCTCTCACAACTCCATCTTTTTTCCTCGAACAGAGTGTGTGGAGCTGAAACCGTTTGGCTAAAAAACATGGAGCAAAGCTAAAAAACGTGGAGTGGAGTGGAGCAGTCCCAAACACCCCCTTAGTTAAAAAAAGAAGTAAAGCATGTTTAAGATTTTACTTGTCATTCTGTTAAGGGGTTAGCGGGGGAGAGGTAAGAGGTACTGCGTTGAAGGAATGATCTCCCATCTCTCTCCATCAAGACAAATCGTGATGGCCCACTAGTGGCAAGATGAGTTGAAAGAATGAACTCCCAACTGTCTCCTCCATGACCAAATGGCGCGGGCCCACTAGTGGCAGGATGAGTCAGCGGCGAACGCGTGTGGTAGGTGGTAACTAGAGGCTGGCCCACCCGCTACCCGAATCAAGGCGTGAGTTTGCAACAATCCCAAGCTCATCATGCAACTTCCTTCCAATGTCAATCGACAGTGCTTGGGGTGTATCTTTGTCGACCCGCGGTTTGTCAAAAAGCACGCTTCAATCAGGAGAAAGAAGGTCCATGCCACTGCATACATGATGGTATTATGTCCACTACATGAGCATATTATTGATTGTTGTATTTCGGCACAATGCACAATGCCATGTTTATTTCCACTTATAATTGATTCGTTTATAATCACCATATCGCGGGGATTTTTTCAATTCTCAATTCTCGATTGTGCTAGTGCAAAGTTATATAGCGACAATCAAAAGAATAAAAAATCATCAAAAGTTTGGTGGGATTCTCACTTTCTTTTACACTGATAATCCAATTACATGCAGAAACAAACAGGGCCAGGCAGCCAAAATAATCATATCGCTAGTGTCATCTCGTGTAGATGCTTGATTTATAGGACTTTCAAAATTTGTAAAGCAAAAGAAAAATAAAATACCTAACCAGGATTTTCTTTATAATTTCTTGCTTCTGTGAGGGCCGCGACGCGAGACCAACTAAAATCTTCATCAAATGGTCAACGGAGGAGTTCAATCATGTCACAATTAGTAATCAACTCCTATGACTTATTACCTGCCACGTACTATCTATCGTTGTGTGCTCTGAAGTTTCACTCTCGTCCTCTGTCCATATGTTAGTTCATTCAATTTTACGCCCAGATTTTCTTTCCGGGGCGCGGGGGCGGTGGTGCAGCGGTAGCTGCTGGAGACCTGGTCGTGTCTATCCTTTTTATAAGTGCGGTCGTCCTCATGCCGCTCATCCGCTACCAAACATGCCTCATACAGCACGAGCTAGATGAAGTCCAATCCTGCAAACGCTCCTATCCTTCCGTTCAATCCTGCATTGTACATGGTCTATAGAGCCAGCTCTATTAGTCCGCTCGCCTGGCGGGACGGACACGCATGACTAGCATGCAATCGGCCATGCACAGGGAGCGACGTGCATCACGGCTGCATAGATTGTTTTTTTTTCCGGTCCATGCTGTCTCGGTCCGTCTGCATCTCAACACTGTTCCAAAATGAGACGACGAGCAATGTCTGATCTAATGAACCACGCACCCTCCGAGTTTCTTATCTGCACACATCTATAAAGGCTACTCTCGACGCACTTGACATACAAGCGAACAAATGGCCATGACTGTCCTTCCTGTTTTCATCTTCCTACTCTTTAGTTCCTTCTTCCAGTCTGACGACCAGCTAACACAAGCCAAGCCACTCTACCCCGGCGACAATCTCATCTCCAAGGGGTGGGACCATTTCATGACCTCTCCAAACGTACATATAAATTTTGCATCAAATAAATCATACATATGTTTTATACAAGAGTTAATTGCATTTCGGGTAAATCATACCAAGAATATGCAAGTTCAGACCATGCCAGAAAATTGATTACAGACACGGCCAAACCTCCCAATTTCAAAACCAGAAAGGTGACCAATTGACATCATTTCTCTCCGGATCATGAGACCAAGAAAACCTTTGGCAAATGGTTAATTTTGCAGTCATTAAGATGTACCTATAATTTTTGGTACTTCGCTAGCTATAATTTGCTGGTGCCGTTCGTTCAAAAAAAAAATGCTGGTGCCTCTCGGTACCTTCCAAGGACAATAATACGCTCTTGGCAAATAGTTCCAGGAAGACGGACCGTGTGCCACAGGGTGATGTGATGCACAAGTTGGTCTTCATTCCACTGAATGACCCCAAATAAGCTACTGCGACCTTTTTTAAAAAAAAAACAAGCTACTGCGACCTGGGTAGTGGGAACGCTAAAGTTGTCTGCATTGAACATTGCTGGCGGCATCTCTATCACTAGTCCAAATGTCCAATCTATTCCACACTACTAGCAGTTTTTCCTTCCACAAAAAGACGTGCTGCATTCTTGGCCATTCATCATGTTTGATCTAGGCCCTAAGTCTTTCGATCCATTAGAGCCACATTTTGATTGGACGGTATAACTCTCTCTCTCTCTCTCTCTCTATCTATCTATCTATCTATCTATCTATCTATCTGCATTGAACATTGCTGGCGGCATCTCTATCACTAGTCCAAATGTCCAATCTATTCCACACTACTAGCAGTTTTTCCTTCCACAAAAAGACGTGCTGCATTCTTGGCCATTCATCATGTTTGATCTAGGCCCTAAATCTTTCGATCCATTAGTCTCTCTTTATCTATATGCTACTTCCTTCACACTTCACAGGCAAACAAACAAGAAAGCCTTAAAGGGCATGGCCTGCTTTCCTCTTTTTTTCCTCATTTTCTTGATCTTGGGTTCTTTCTGCCAGTCCAAAGACCAACTGACACAAGTAAATCCGCTCTCACCCAGTGACATGATTGTCTCCAAAGGTGGGGACTTTGCTCTCGGCTTCTTCTCTCCAAACAACTCCAACAGAAGCTTGTACCTTGGAATCTGGTACCATAATATCCCCAAGCGCACCGTCGTTTGGGTTGCTAATCGTGATAGCCCAGTCACCAATCCTTCATCAGCGAAGCTCGCCATCATCAGCAGTCCTGAGATGGTATTGTCTGATTCAAAGGGTCACACCCTTTGGACAACGGCAAACACCACCATCACTGGAGGTGCTGAAGTTATTGTGGTTCTCCTCAACTCGGGAAACCTTGTGCTCCGGTTGTTGAATGGCACAGAAGTATGGCAAAGCTTCGACCACCCAACCGACACCATGCTTCCAAACATGAGATTCGTCCTGAGCTACAAGGGACAGGTGGCCAGGCGCCTCATTGCATGGAAGGGCCATGATGACCCATCTACTGGGGACTTCTCATATAGCCTTGATCCTAACACACACCTTCAAGATGTCATTTGGCACAACACAGCGCCATATTGCCGCACCAACGTGTTCAGCGATATGTGGGTGGGAGGCGCGGTACAGAAAAACCAGAGACCTTCCTGGGTCCTATACCAAACTAGGGTCAGCACAGAGGATGAGCTCTATCTCATATACTCGGTCTCTAATGATGCTCCTTACACACGATTATTGATTGGCAATACCGGCAAGTTGAGTTTCCAGAGTTGGAACAACAACACGTTGTCATGGACAGTCATTGATGAGGCGCCCACCGGCTGCGACTTCTATGCCTCATGTGGCCCGTTCGGCTACTGTGACTTCACGGAGAAGCTCCCAATGTGTAGGTGCTTCGATGGATTTGAGCCTATTGATAATTTCAACTCTTCAAGAGGATGCCAGAGAAAGGAAGTGCTAAAATGCCAAGAAGAGAATCATTTCGTGACCTTACCTGGGATGAAGGTTCCCGACAAGTTTTTGCACATTAGGAATAGAAGCTTAGACCAGTGCGCAGCTGAGTGCAGCAGAAATTGCTCATGTATCGCGTATGCCTACGCTGATATGAGCGGTGCCGGCACTATGACTGACATGTCGCGGTGTTTGGTTTGGTATGGGGATCTAGTTGATATGAGGAAGGAGACCTCTGGTGAGAATTTGTACCTCCGGCTTTCCGATGCCAATTCTCTAGGTATACGCACTCTCTTGTCCAAATTATTTGCTGCTCTGTATGTTGTGCAATGGCCATTCTAAATGGAAAATAAGACTTGAATTGCCCTGGCATGAAAGAAACAATGGCATCATTAACAAAGAACATTTAGAATACACTTCTGCAAATAGTAAACAAATCATGTGAACTTGACCATACACGATCTCTATTACTCCTTCCTTCCAATTATATATAACTGAGTATGATTCAAAAAAATCAAATTTATGTACTTCAGATAGTGCCAATGCCACTATAATACAAAATGAATCACCTTGACAATCTCCAAAATTTAGTTATGTTTGACACTAAATCTGTGTAAAAGCTTGTGTGAGACAATATCAACCAACAACAATGCCAAAAGGCTAACAGTAATGCTGGTGGTGTTACTGTTTGGGTGTATCTAGGTTTCTTGGTAAAAAAAAAAGATAGCTGATCGTCTAAAAGTGTTCACAGATCGATCATTTTAGGTGTGGAGTGGTCACAAATCAGTCAGAGTATCCTATATTACCCTGTGAAAGATAAGTCACAATATTGGAGTAATGCTTTATGGCTTATGCAATCAAATCTAATGAGATACATTTTCACATGCAGCTCAAAATAAGAAGGATATAGAAAAGATTTTACCCCGGTTTATAGCATGTTTGCTGCTGCTCTCAGGCACAGCCCTTGTCTGGAGATGCAAATACAGAGGTACAATAAACTTAAGCCTATGTTTTCCAACATGCAACATTGTGGTGTAAATGTAAGAGAGGAGTTGCACTGATGTTTCTAGCAGCAGGAAAACGGCACAAAAAGGAAGCCCAGAAGAGAATGATGCTAGAATACTTGCGGTCTACTGATGAAACTGGGGACATGAATATAGAATTCCCATTTTATAGCTTCAAAGACATTGTTGTGGCAACGGATAATTTTTCTGATTCCAATATGCTTGGAAAGGGAGGTTTTGGCAAAGTTTACAAGGTACAAAGCAAAAATTGTCACTTGATATCTACAAAGATAGAAAAGTATAATATTAATTAATTGTTGTCTAATCATGTAATGGGAAAATCAAGCAGGGATTGTTGGATGGTACCAAGGAAGTAGCCATCAAGAGACTTAGTAAGGGCTCTGGACAAGGCGTTGAAGAGTTCAGAAATGAAGTGGTCTTGATTGCAAAACTGCAGCACAAGAACCTCGTTAAGCTTCTTGGCTGTTCTATTCACGAAGTTGAGAAGTTGTTGGTTTATGAATACTTGCCTAACAAAAGCTTAGATTACTTCATCTTTGGTAAATTGAATTAATATTTAAAGTTCTTACACTCTGAAATCATTAATGAAAATAAAAATAAATATGCACATATATGCCTTGTTGTATGTATGACTTGTTCACATTCCTATTATTAGACTCAGCAAGAAAGCCATTGCTTCAGTGGCCTACAAGGTGCAAGATAATCCAAGGGATAGCGAGAGGAATTCTTTATCTCCATCAAGACTCAAGACTAACAATAATTCATAGAGATCTCAAAGCAAGTAACATTTTGTTAGACGAAGAGATGATGCCTAAGATATCAGATTTTGGTATGGCCAAGATACTCTACGGTGATCAGCACCATGCCAATACTAATCGAGTTGTTGGGACATAGTAAGTAACCCTTGCACTATCAAATTTCAGGTACAGTTATCTGGTTGCACTTGTTGAATTATGCATATCTCATGCACTGGTGACTCATTCACACAGTGGTTACATGTCCCCGGAATATGCAATGGAAGGTGCATTTTCAGTTAAGTCAGACACCTATAGCTTTGGTGTTCTACTGTTGGAGATTGTGAGTGGATTAAAGATCAGCTCACCACATCTTATCTCGGATTTTCCTAACCTTATAGTATGTGTAAGTACTGGGTGATGTTCCCAATCTTTTTTTTAACGTAAGAGTGATGCTCCCAATCAAGCTCTACTGCCTATAAAAATGTACTCACTTGCTGAGAAAATTATCTCTCTATTCAGGCATGGAACTTATGGAAGGATGGCAAAATAGATGATTTGGTAGACTCATCTATTAAGGAGAACTGTCCACTCGATGAAGTTTCACGGTGCATTCACATAGGACTCTTATGTGTTCAAGACAGTCCGGACTGTAGGCCACTCATGTCAGACGTTTTATCCATGCTGGAGAACAAAACCACACTGCTCCCAATACCAATGCAAGCAGTGTATTTTGTACGTAGGGATGCTGAACCTGCAAGAGTTGGCAACAATAGAGTATTGTCCTTGAATGCCATGAGCTTAACGGAGGTAGAAGGCCGCTAAATGTTGACTGTACATGGATAAGTGCACTTCAGCATATGTTGTTCCTCTGCCTTTGAGTTTATTACATGGGCTGCTTAAAGCTCATCTTTACCGTGTACAACAATGGAGGATAATATTCTCATGGCATAATGGTGGGTACTGTAACGGATTCACGATATATGTCCATGCATAAGTATCTAAAGAGTTGCAGTCTTCCTAAATTTATGCAATTATCTAAATACTTGTAGTCCTTGTGAATTTACGCAATAATTTTTCTTTCCAACTAACACATGAAAATATGCATGGTAACATACATTGGATGCTAACGCATGGGCATATGTCATAAATCCATGACATGTGATCACGGTTACCCATGCAGAGACCATCCCTACCGATTTTTTTTTCCATTCGGCAAACTTTGCGAGCCATCCTACATTCCTCCCCTCTCACTTCAATGAGAACGGTCACATGTCAAATTAGATTTTTGTTTGACAACATGTCAAATTAGGGCACGTTTAAATCCCCTAGTGAATTAGCGAGATAGAAGAACGAGAATAAGATCCAAACATGTAGGGGCAGATTTTTTATAATACATCCAACCAACTAGTTAGAATCTCTAGTAATAATCTAGAATCCAAACATGACTCGTTATTTTTATCCAGAATCCAAATTCGACAATCACTATTTAGAATCCAGATTTTTGTAATCTTTAGGGGATTCAAGTATTCCCAAAAATTGTTTAAAATGTACTATAGTCTAGAAGAAAAGTTCAAAATGCTCCAAATTACACTCAACTCCTACCGTCCACAAATATAAGTAGCTTTGTATTTATTCTAAGTAAAAGTATCATAAACTAGAAGAACAAAAATATTTACGATATTAAATAGTATTATTAGATTAATTACGAAATATAATTTCATAGTTTACTTATTTTGAATGGTGAATATGTTAATACTCTGTTCTATAAATTTGGTTTGGCATAGGATAAAACAATGAAATTTGGTTTATGGAATTTTTTTCCTTTCTTAAACATTAGAGTCAATTATTTTTCGAAACATAGCATAGACATGAGCAATCTCAGTTTTGGACGATCTAGAGAAGTGAAAGGTCCACGCTTACTCAATGTACCGTAAGGAACTCTTGATTTAAATTTTAAATTGAGAAATCATAATATCACTAAAGGTTTTTGACTGAAAAAGGCAGTCAACAACGTGGCCAAACCTCCTAATTTCAGAAGCGGAAAGGCCCCTAATTGGCATCATTTTTCTCTCTTCTCTGAATCTACAACAAAACCGTGAAAAGCTTTGGCAAATCAACAAACAAGAAGCTAAAGGTATAATGGGTGTGGGCGTGTGGTCTATATTCCCCTGAATGTCAGTTTCAAGCTCGAAGCAATTAGCAATCCACCAGACGGAGGTCAAGGTAGCAGACGCCACAGGGGTCGAGATCCAAAACCAGTGGTCACATCATCCTTACTGCCCGATAAACTACGACATTGGGGGCAGTTCAGCGCAGTCTTCTCAGCATTCGTCAAATATCAACTCTACAACATATTGTACCCTCGGTGGTATGGTGCCCACCATTTCAAACTTTGCTGTCTAATGAGGTGACCTCTCCACTACCAAAAAAAATCCAGGAACTGAGTCTTCAAGATCAATGGCACTGCGACCCCTCCGTCTGGAGCCTGCCGGCGGCGTCAGAGGCACGGCTGAGCCCCTTTGCCGTGACATTGGGCGCGGCTGCGACTCCTACGTCTGGGCCCGCAGTCCCGGCCGCTTTGACTGGTTTCGCTCCCACCGCCGAAAGCCGCCTCCGCAACCAGACTACCGGAGCCTCGGCCCTCGACGCCTCGACGGACGCCGACGAGGCGACGACACAGAGGGTCGCCTGCGCGGGGAAAGTGATCTTCTAAGCCCAACAGGGCCCAATAGGCTCGAGTGCTTATGGCCCAGATTTGTGTCCTGTCAGGCCCATGACTTCAGAATCGGCATCGGCCCATTTATTGGTGCTTATCCCGAATACCCTAAAAAACAAAGGTTGCGTGCGTCCAAATTGTACTCTTGGTCAAAAAAAAAAAAAAAATCCGTATAAAGCCCCCCAAAAAAAAAGACAACTGTGTCAAAAATAAAACAACGGTAACATTACTTAACACGTCCATTCCTTCGTATATAGCCCTACCATACACACCCTTCACAGCCCGTAAAGGTACAACCATGATACTATGATACAACCAAAAAACCATAGCAGCACTACCAGTTATAACACGTACATTCCTTCATAAAGGGCCAGGCAGCTACTTCCTCCACAGCTTTTACAGGTAATCGGGCAAGTCCATATTTCACAAGCTTAATAATTTTGAAAAGCCTGAGCTGCCTACTTGCGTGCTGCCAGAACCGGCATCCGAGTCCTTGCGCTCGCAGAACTGGCGCTCTGCCACGAGGACGGCTTCACCCTGCCTGCCATCAGTGTGGTAGCAGCGCCAGCTTTTATGTTCCGCCTCTTCAGCACGAGGTCAAGTTTACCATTCGAGGCTGAGCTTGATGACTCGGAAAAGATAGAGGCAGCTTTGATTGCTGCTCTCTTGTCCCTTCTGCTCTTCTCAAATTTCGATGCAAACTTCACTGAAGCCGCAGCGGTGGCATCTTCTGCAGAGGGAGGCAAGAGCCGCACTCCGAGGCCCAACGTTCTCGCGGACTTCTTCTCTTCAGCAACTCTCTTTTTTTGGCTCTACATAAAAACACAAACAGGTGGATAAGAAATGTGGTGATTTCATGGCCTATGGTGGGAATAGTTGATTAATTTATAGGAATTCATTGGATGACCCTAAGACGGTCGCGCAGTGCTCTGTTCAGAGCATAATCATCAGAGTGCCGGCTGTCAGAGAGTCGTTGAAGGCGAACTAAAACTGGCTCAGCTTCTTTTTTCTTCCGAAGATCCTCTTCCTGGTGTTCAAGCCGATACATAGGATCCGCAAGCTTGTCTCGATCTGAGGAAAAATCCATAAATAAACATCATGCATTTTAAACAAGGGTCTCTCATGAATAAAATAAATCTTTACAGGGCTGAACCTTCATCAGCTGGCAACAGCAATGTCTCTGCGTCCTCAACATCAAAATCTTCTGTTTTCTTCTGGGCCCCACTGATTATGACATATTCAGTATTCTTTGGGTCTGTCTGAATGACAATTTCATGCTTGCAACAGGGTGATTTCATGGTGAAGCTCCATATCTGTTAAATAGACATTTGGCAAAACAATGTCAGAACAGCATAGGGAGAAAGTGATTTAGAAGAACGTGTGAAATTAAACAGAAGGTTATGGAAAGCTCTAGGCATTAAGAATTTCTCAGATTTCAGAAGAGAACAAATGAAGTTTGTTACTATATATAACAAACATGCAGACCTTGTACAGTGATATGACTATGGTTGCACCAAGAAGTTAGGACTGATTCCTTCCTACGGCGTATAATCCTTTTACAGAACTAGTATACTATATACACTTTAGTAAATGGCTCTACATAAACTGTAGAAGGAATTAAAGCTACTGCATAAAACATTCTTTTACCTGACAGGATGTATTTTTGGGGAAAAACTCAATATATGCACGAAGACAGATACATACAATAAAACAAAGGATCTTGTTATTATTATACATCAAATGACAATGGAACCCCCTAAGTAAACCACATTTTGGCACGAAAAAGGCAATATAAGAAAAATAAATTGATATATTAAACCAGAAACGGATGCAGGTCGCATACCCACATAGGTTGAATATGAATATTAAGGCAAGGTTGCAGTTGTTATCCATAGAGAGCTTACTTTTAAAGCTGCTGTGGAAGGGCAAATCTAAAAAGAATCTTGTGGTTCTCTAAAGGATCAGATTAAACTTAGAGACAAATTCTGTTCGTCTGATATTTCATTTGTATGTGCTGTTATTTGAAGAACCTACGGTATCTCTGTCTAAACCTTGTTCAGAAAAAGGATCAAGCCAGGAATTAAAATAACTAAAGATACC